ATCCTCGGCAACCTCCTACTCGCCTTTGCCACTTCCCCAATCTTACTCGTCATCTCATCCTCCTTCTTCTTAACATGCGACCAAGCCAACTCCTTCTTCAGATCATCCAACTTCTGCTTCTGCTCCCTAGCCTTGGCAGCTTCTTGGTACCTCGCCGAAGCCTCTGCAAACCGTGTCCGGAGGTCAAGTAGTGCTTCTTTGTTTTGGGCGAGGACTTTGGCGGTTTGTGTAATGTTTTCGAGGCAGGTGTCGTATTCGTCTGAGAGCCGGGAGAGTTGGGTGCCGCGGAGGAAGAACTGGGGGGGTTTGGTTGTTAGTGCTCATTCGGTCCAGTCACGTCAATAACTTACCTTGTATTTATCCTGAGGATGACTAGCGCTCAAGAACTGCCTCGCAGAATCTACATCGCCCGATCTCCATCAGCCTCCCTCCTCTCTTTAAAACACAGAAAGAAAGGAAAACCCACCCTGCGTCAACACATTCATCGGATTATCCACCTGGATATTCATATGATCGCAAATCGCAGCGAGCTCTTCCTTCTTCGTACTAATCACCTTTCCATCCTTACTCTTGATCTTCCAGGACGATCCGCCCTCTTTTGTGAACCTTCTCGTGATGACGATGGTCTTGCCGTACTCGGTGGTCTTGTACGCTTCTTCGCCTTGGTTTTTGAGGTGGATCGTTACTTCTGAGACGCTGCAGGAGTGTTAGTGTGGGGAAAAGAGGGCAGGGAGAGAGGAAGAACCTTTGGCCTTCGCGAATGAAGGACTTGATCCCGCTTCCTCGGCCGGTAGAGTTGGCTTTGCCGCCTAGAGCGACGGTGAGTGCGGATAAAGCTGCGCTTTTGCCACCTAAATTTAAACCAGATCAAGTATACGTCAGTATATGCTGCGTATATGTGGACGCAACGATGTGCTTACTCCCGTTATGCCCTACAACAAAAGTTGCCGGAATCAGTCTTTTTTTTCTTTAGCATGACATGAAAGAAAAGAACAAACCGGTGATAAAGTTGATCTGGGGACCGAAATGGAAGGTGAGGTACTTGTGGCACATGAACTGGCGCATTTCGATGTATTCGATTATACCGTACTCAGCGACCCCCTGGGCGTAAAATGTCAGCTCAACATTTAACATACAAAGGAAAGACAAAGAAAAAAAGGGGACTAACACCCTGAACATGCCGCTTCGACTCTAACCTCGCCCTAATCGTATCCCCATTCTTCGCTTCGAACTGTTCGTCGTCTTCTTCATCTTCATCTTCTCCTCTCCCGCCGGCTACGACCTTGTCGGACTCTTTGAAGTTCTTGTTCTTGTTCTTCATCATCAATATCCTCCTCTTCTCCATCTTCAGCAAGGGTAAGGTCAGCGTCGACATCTATGGCGCGCTGTTTCCCCTTCCCAGCCCGACGAACACGCGTCTGAGTCTGGGTGGTACATCTCATAAGTAACGTCGGGGCTCGTGAAGGGTATCATCTAGACCTGTGACTAGTCCCTCTATGAAGCAAGAGCTACAGGGGAATCCCGTCACCAGTCCAGGTAACATCAGTATACAGCGTAGCAGTCGCAGATCCGTAGGAGTCGGAGATGATTGCTGCATGCTGGGTATGCACACAGCGATTGTAGATAGTTCGTTGATCCATCCATAGCAATCGACGCGTGTCGCATCATAAAAGTCGTAAGTAGTTTGAAGGCACAACTGGACAAAAGATGAGCACGTCAACGAACAAAGGGAAAGGGGCAAGAACTTACTCCCTTTCCGCCCATCATCCATCTCCGCCTCCCACCATTTCCCGGACTTGTCAATGATATTAAGGATCTCGCCCCTCCCGAACGAAAGTTCGTTTGGATCTTTGGGGCTCGCGGTATCTGGGGGCAACGTCAGTCATCATCCATCCATCCACCCCGCAAAAAAAAAAAACGAACAAGGAAACATAGCCTCCGCACGATAAACAGGTGTCGGCTCCTTTTCCCCCTTCGCACTCTTTCGTCGACTCACATTCCCACCACCATCGCTCCCCGCAGCGCTCCTCCCGCCCACCCCGCTCGTAGGCGCCTTACTCCCCCTGTCCCCAGGTGTATACGTGCTCCACCCCCCCTGCGACCTTCTCTTCTCCTCACCAGGATCAACCTGCGACCGGCTCTGGTTCTGTCCCAACTCGATATCTTCTCCCTCCAACTGCTGCTGCTGCTGTTCAACAGTCCCCCCGTTCCCTGTCTTTCCAAAGCCTGAGAAGGAGGGTTCTTTGGTGACGGGTATAGGATCCGATATGGTGCCGTGTGGCATTGGCAGTGGTGTCCCCAGACGACTATGACTATGGCCAGAGAGCTGCGAAGGGGGCGCGGTGAAGTAGAGGATCCAAAGGATGTTGATGATAGCTGTGATAAGCCACCCCGCCGCGAGCGCTTGATGCGTTGGTTTGTGCGTGGGAGGCGTGAAGAGGTTGGTGTTCACGCCGATGGAGGCGAGCACCGTTGACATGGCTGCTAAGATGGATATTTGGAATGCATAGAGGTGGGTTGAGTGGGTGGGTAGGGTGACGAGGAGTTCGAGGATTATGATTGTTTGGAGGACGAAGGCGAGCCAGAGGACGCCGACGAGGGTGCTGCTGTTGGGTGCTGTTTGCGGGAGTCAGGAGGGAAGTGGAAGGGGAGTGGCGAAAGGGCTTACTTGTTGCCGTTATTATGGCTTGGGAGGTTAGCGAAGTGACCCAAGCTATCTTGGGGTATAGTTAGATGAAAGAAAAATATCGCGATCAAAGGGTGTGCTTACCACGCTTATGACAAAGGTGAACAGAAGGAAATAGTTGGGCGCTGGTGAGCGTGTAGGAGGTGGGTGGTGTTCTGGGTGTTCTTGGTGTTGTACCACTTGTTCCTGTTGGTGGAAACTGAGGTCGGTGGCTGCTGGGACGGGCGAAGACGGGCCATGGTGGGTATCGGACATGGTGGATGGCATACTGGCGCCTCTTCTGCTTCTGTCAAAATGGCGGACGAAACGTTCTCGCGGTTCGCTCCCGTGAAAGGAACAGCCCCATCAGGGAATGCGTCCGAAAACATACCGACTTTCACACGTCGGAGGATTTGCATTATCAGATTGCTCAATGCTCATTAATAATTATATACTATCTCATATCCTATCTAAACCTCGTCCATAGGTACTGTGAATGTTGATGTTGATGCGTCCTGGTGAGGCGGACTGGGATAGTCTGAAGAAACCGTTTTCCATCTAAAGGAAGCACCAAATTGCTCCCCCAGCAGTTTCCTAGTGGTAAACAGTGTTGATTCGAGACCACATGGGGCAAGTTCAATGTTGTTGGCGAAGGAGTGGTTGGTGCAGTCGGTTGTTATGGATGGGTCCGAGTCCGTCTCATGGAGTTCTGGGTCGGCCATTGGTTTTGAGGCTGATAGTTGATGCGCTGTCGTTGGTAGTAGCGATGTGTCCGTTTGGTATGCTGCTGGTATGGGTCAGTGTGTTGAAACCTGCGACTACGTTTCAACGCACCATCCGCCTTGTATGCCGCCGAAAGCCACCTGAACCAACTCGAGGCAAACACAGGCCCACCACAAACCTCTCCATGCGAAACGCTCCTTTCGTACTACGTTGAAGCCCATCCCTACCCAAAGTCTTTGCTCCTGGGAGATATAACAAGCACGGCGTATCGAGAATGGGCCAAATTCGTTGCTGGACTCGGAGGGGCAATTGGCAGCGGAGTTCCGGCTCATCGTCGTCTATCTGACACAGTACTAACTGCGAAAGGGATGACGAGAGCTAATTCGAGGAGGTAAAGTACTTACCTATCAAGGTCATCACAGCTCCATCACGAAAAAATTGATATGCCTGGGGGTTCAAAGGTCGAACAAGACCCAAAATTAAATGTGAACGTTGAGATTCCAGAGGCGGCGAGAGCGGGTGGTCCTACTAGGGTTATGACCTTGAAACTTGAAGATGGTCAGCATGGAACCGTTCCTTCCAAGTACTTTTCCGCAAAGATCAGGGGTATATCTGTATAGTAGATCGAAAGTCAGAAAGCAGGGTAGGGCTGGGGTAGGGCTGGGGTAGGGGGAACTCACCGAGACATTGTTGGACGTTTGGTTGAAGTTGAGGGAAGGTCAACCAACTGTCTCACGACATCGTTCATCACCTGGCTAAGACGTTCACGACGGAAGCACCCATCGTCTGGTGCTTCGCACCGTTTCTATGATGACCGGGCATTGCTGAGACATCTTTTCAACACTGAACACAATTCATGCAAGTCATGTTAACATTCTCATTTTGTTCGTTACAAGATTGACGTACCATTCTAGCATCCTTATTCCTCCCCGGAAACAGTACTGCTGCCTAAGCATTGGGTGATCCACCGACGATTATCCATGGCCATGGGTTGTCGATGTCCTTGAGCTTTCGTCTGCCACACGTCTCCCAGCATGATCAAAGCACGATACCTTCTTGCTGCATCTTAATCGTTCTGCCAGCAGTGGCGCAAATGTCACCGATTCAAAGTACAGGACGCTATCGAATGCGCATACGTCGACATGCTGACGCTTGTGATGGATCGATGAGCGACGGTAAGGAATGTTCTGCCATTCCAAATCCGCTCATTCACTAAGAACTCTTTTTGGTATCACAAGCCCAGGCCCTACGGGCACCCGTACCTCCTAGAAAATGTTCCCACCGTTACTCCAGGATCGACAGGTATGGATCATCCCCACTACTCGTCGCTCTCATCTGATGCTATTCGCAGCTACAGCGATGTACGGACATCTCGGGAACTGTGGACGGGATCCACTTCGCATTGTATGCGAATTTCACGTAGCGTCATCCGCAAACAATTTCCTGTCAATCGGCATTGCATTTTGACTCAAGATCTTGCACTTACATGTTGGACTCGGGTGCGTCGCCAATCATCTCAGCCTTCTCTGGGCTTCTGCAACTCGATTTGGCTATCCCGTCCAGCGCTGCAGAAGGAGTTCGCAATGGGTGCCAACGGATCCTCAAGGTTCGCAGCTGCTTGCAGGTAATTATGTAAGGAACACCATCAACACCATCATATCCTGCTCATGCTACATCGAATCTATATCCTACAGTCAATCAAAAGACGTCGACACCTCGCGTTTCCGTTGGCTTACACGGCAATGTATGCTAACAAAGCTAACGTGGATAGAATTTTTGGCGTCCATGATTGGCGGGTTTTAATACAGTGCGTTCATTTTCAAGTTTTTAGTTTCTTCTCTGTGTTTCTGCTTATGCTGGTCATAGTGACTCCCTCCACAATTCCGATGGCCGGCCCAAGGCAAGAGGTCGGAAAGAAGGCGACCACTGGACAGCTTGGGCCTTCGACCTCAAGTCCAAGCGCTCCATCTTCTACCTTCACATGTACGAGGATGGACGAGTGGCTAGATTCGGTGCGGATAAACGCAAGGCATTTCGAGTGAAGAAGTATGACCTTATATGGAGTGGAGAGGTAGACACTCTCCTGCATCATGTTATTCGAAACTTACTGCCATCTTAGGTGACAGCGAAATAGACATACATACTAAGTACCTTGAGACTGGCCGAGTCAATAAATAAGCTGTTAGTGTATAATACTGTAGTGGAGTATAGATCTGGAACTAGCAAAGTGGAAAGGTAAAGAACACAAAGGGATGTTGGAGATCATTCAGGTTTGAATTTCACTTATGGCCCCTCTGGGACCCAATTTTCGTTGACTGACAGAACAGCATAGCCATATTTGCTGCAAATCTATTTGATAATGAGACCACTAGGTGTTACATCCTTCCAACAGATGGCAACCAAAGTGGACTTGATCAATATGACCTCAATTTATTAATCTAATGTTTTCCCAAAGATTGAAGCCCTCCATGGAACTGTTTAGTATTTTAAGACAGAAGAGTCCCTTTCCCTGCAGCCAGTCTCAAGCACAGAATATTTGTTTGGGACATCACCCTTGGGACCCCAGCCACCTTTCATGGGGTTGGTGTTCCATCTTTATTGCCCAAAATAATGCTGCTGATGTATGCCTATACATAGAACCTGGAAAGCCCATGTTTTTGCATTTATTTGATATACAGCCACATAATAATTGCAAACTATGTACACTGTGCCTCTGGTGCCCAACTGTATGTAATTTAGACCCTTGAAATGCATGCTAGTTCTCGAATGGAACTGGTTTCATTAAACTCTCTGAGCTGAGCCATTGTTGTTTATATTGGCCTTTCCTGGGCAGTAACCTCTGGAGGAAAACAATTTGATATTCACCTTTTTGGCTGCAGTAATGTCTGGAGGAAAATCATTCATCCCATATTTGTTTTTTTCTCCATGGAGGCTTTGACATTTCCATTACCCTGATCTGGCAACAATCTCTTGAAGACTGAGATTTATTTTGACAATCCTCCAATACAAAATATATAGGGTACAATAATCAAAATTCATCTAGGAGTGTAGTGGCTTGTAGGGATGCTCCTTCAGCTATGCGTGACTGAGAGGGAACCCACGATGCACCATCTTGTTGATGAAATTGATAATGATGTCAACCTTGGAATCAGTAAGCCAGGATTGTTCGGAACTTGCTTGTTCACAGGTCATTCCACCATCAACATGTTGTTTTAAGGTCACATGACTGAGTTTAATTTGATTTTCTGTTGAGGAAATGAATTAAATATCATTTAGAGTAGTATAGATATAATTGCCAGTCTCTTGGAAATGAAGACTCTCGAAATTGAGGCAGACTTTGCAGTATCCATGATGATCTTTTGTTGGCTTCTTTTGATCTGCCTTGTATGGAGCAGTGGTGTCACGGCCGTCTTGACCTCAGCCATAAAGGTCAGGCCGAAATGTGGGTCAGGCCAATTTGACTGGTCATGTCCCCAGTCAAAGGGGTCAAACATCACATGCCAAATCCCAGGTTACCTGTGACATTGAGTAGACAGTGAAGCAAGTAATAAAGTAGTGTTGAACCTGTCTGTGTAGTCCTACTAGCGCTTTATATGTAGAAAAGTATGAAATTATACCCTACATTACCCTCCTGCTTCCTTGAGTTCTATGATGCCTCCACCCTTGCCACTCTGGGCATATTTTCGTCATGATAAAAGCCATTACAAGAATAACAAGACTCACCTAAATGCATGGTGCAAGGCATGTATTTTGTCCCAAAAGCGCATCTTGCTAGAATTGGATTTGTTGAGAACCTGTTGAGGTGAAATCATGGCAGTACGGAGTCCCTTGGAATTGGAGCTGGCCGGTATGTTAGATATCCTTGAATTGAATTCCCTTGATCAACCTAAAAACAATACAGCCATCGCAAGGGTCACACCAATCTGCAGAAAAAGTGATTGCATGAAAACACACATTAAGAATTGCAAATCACTCACCGACGATGAATGTACCCTGGCTATGTTGGCTGTACCCTGCGCCCCAACACGCCGGCAAGCTACAGCCCTCCATGAAAACCCCACCCTTGTCCTTTCCTCACCAGCCACATCTTTCCATCACCCTACATCCAAACCATCTGTTCTGTCAAATGCTGCAACAAGAACTCTCAATCAGTCTGCTGTTTGTCCATCACCGACACCACTATGTGTACCTGCTGTTAAAAGGTCAAAGTCCCTCCATGATGGACATGGTGGTGTACAGACACTTGCAAAAGTTCTTTCACTGCAAGAACTGCAGGATGACTTTTCCGGTGATCTATGCAAGCTGCTCATCTTGTTAAACACAGCTTGGACAGCAGCAGATAATCCCACATTCCATACCTTTGTTCACAAGTGGGTTGGGCCAGAGGTTGTTGTACAGGATTGTTGAATTATGTCAGGCCAGGTGCTTGACAACAAGGTCAGAAAGGTGGAGAATAAGGTGCGACAAAAGGTTCGGGGCAAGCTGGCAACTGGCTTATGTGACAGGTGGAAGAACATTGCCAAGACGTCTGTTGTAAGCTCATTGATGACTGTCGACACAATTGTGAGCCAGTACCGCTTATTACTCAAAATTGTGCTCACTTCATTCTAACACTGTTCTAGCCATATCTTGTCCAAACCCACAACGTAATGCATGATGCGAAGACAGGTGACCACCTGTTGAAGTTGGTACTTGAAGACATCGTCTTGATGGAAACAAAATATGGCGTTATTCTCATCGCTTGGTGTACAGATGATAGCCCTGATGGGAAGAAAATATGACAGTTATTGCTTGTTGCTTTTCCACACCTCATCATGATTCTGTGTTGGGCTCACCAGATTAACCTGATTGTTGGGGATTGCCTTGCCATCTGACAGAGCATGATGGATGACATCAACCATGCCCTTGATGTTGTGAAGTGGTTTAACAACCATGAGACTGCCCTGGAACTGCTTCATCAGGAACAAGTTCTCACGTTCGAGGGACTCAGCTGGACATTGATACTTCCTGCTATTATGCGGTGGACAGTGCACTACCTTGCTTTGAGCTGAGTTTTGAAAGTGAAGCAGCCGCTTCAAATTTGTTGGACAAGAAATGAAGACAGGCTCATTGTATGTGCCAGGACGAAAGAGGAGTTGCAGAGAAAGGCACATCAAATCCAAGATATAGTGCGCAATAAGGGCTTTTGGTATTGAATTGGAAGGTATTTCATCTGTTCAATCAGTAAGCATTTAGACTTTAACATGGCGATAGGATTTGGAAAGTTCTCAAACTGCTCGCCATTGCAGCCAATGTGGCCCAGTCATCCCATACCCATCTCAACCATGTTCTACTCACCCTTGGGAATCTGATTCGCATATTCTCCAAACCTACAGAAGCTTTTGATCGAGTTTAAACTAAGTTTACTCAAGTCCAATGAAAGCCGACCAGGGCTAGTTTTGCACGCGCACAATCACAGTCGCGTGTCCGCTGACACGCGACTAAGAGCCGCTGCTCACCAACAAGAGCCGCTGCTTGACTTACGTCAATCCACGCTTGGATTGACACTCATTTATTTTTAGATTCTCCTCTCATGGCTGAGGAGTGGGATCAGACGACCCCTTTCCACAAGGCTCTCGTCTCAACATCTCACTCCCTCAGCCAGGTATGTATCCAACTCGTTATTGAAGGCTATCGTGATAACAGATTGCTTCGTCTACACAGTCTTCTACTAGACTACAGTTGTCTTTTCGTCATCATCATAATACTACGCATTCATCGTTCCTCAACTTTCTCCTATGAGCGACGACCATGCCAGCCTCTTCGCGTCCGCAGTACCAGGCAACGGATCCTCCGATACTATTGGAGAGATTGGGAATGACCGGCAATGCGAGACCGACGTTACTGAACAGACTGGACATGTTGGACGATACACCCCAGATCGATCTGACGATGGACAACGAGGAACCAGTCCTGTTAGACAGACTAGGGATGACCAGTCAGGGGATCTCGATGATGGACAACCTAGCGAGATCGAACAAGAATGTATTGAACAAATGGACGACCTCGTCGAGAGCTTCAGAATCAATGAAATCACTAAGCTCAAAGCGCTCTCTTGCATTATTTCAATCCTCGACCTCAACCCATCCAGAAGTGAGGGAGCGAGGGATGCAGCCGTTGAATATTACGCAAAAACCCTCGACGAGGTTCAAGCCCTCTCTTCTTCAGCGGTTAGGAGAGGTGGAATCACCCAAAGCGTGCTCGATTCCAAAGGACAGAAATCAAACCCACCGCAGCCTCGCACATCTACCGATCACGACGCTGAAATCGACGAGCTCATTTCTCAAATCAGTCGAGATTCAAAGCGACATAGGAAGGAACCCTCAGGAGGCGGATCTGACAATGAACTCGACCTCGACCTTGATGGAGCCTCAAACAAGAAGCGCCGAGTCTTCGAATCAGAAATGCCTTGGTACACCAGAGAGGAAGAGGCCAGAAGAAGTGGTAACAAAGACTGTGAGGAATCACGAAGGATCCTTCACCTCTTCGCTAGGGACTACAAAGTTGTCAAACAGTGGATCCAGACCTCTCGAACTGCTCCCCTCGGTTTCCCTTCATCTGAGTGGGATAATATCATCCGAGGACAAGCCGTTAACCTCGATGCGGTGTTCTCCTCATTGCACCACATCTCAGCTCCTAAAGAGAACGTTGGACGCGTGGGACTCACTGAAATTTCTCTCGGAAGATCAGAACCTTCAAAGAAGGTCCAAACGAGCGGCGAATGGACCAGCGCCTGGAATGCCACCATCAAAGCGGTCAAGTTCGCTTTTCCTCACAGAGAGCAAGAACTCAGGGAATACGCTGAGTATATCGAGGGTCATTTCTCAGCCAAAGTCGTATCCGCACATCGAAGGATCATTCTCTACGATGTCGCCATCTGCAATGAAGTCGGCGGAGGCCAGAACGCCCTACTCACCGACACCCATCGTTTTTCAAGATTTTTCTCAGCCATCGTCATGCCCGATGGAATTGAATCTGACCACGCCAGGCTCGGATCCAAGAGACCGGTTGGAAAAACCAATTCAAAGTCGGAAATATGCAACCGGTATAATTCATCCAATGGTTGCAGGAACTCTGCCGAAGACTGTCGTTTCCGACATGCCTGCAAACGATGCAAGCGAATGGGTCATGGGGAAAAATCGTGCGATGTCAAGGAAAGTTCTAATGCATGAACTTCGTCCAAAATATCTCAGATACAACATCTGGGATGGTGGGGAACAATTTTCACGCTCATCTGCTGATTGGTCCGAAACAGCCTCACCACTACCAGCCATCCCAGCATCTGAACTTGCAAATCAAGTTGTTGCAAAGACGATTAGGGATAATCCCCATCTTTTTGATATCGTTACTCCCATATTTATCGACCGTTTCCAAGAATTACTCAAATCACATCCAAACCAACCCTTTGTCTTATCTGTGTGTCGTGGACTCCGTGAGGGTTTCTGGCCTTGGGCCGATACCCATATTGGAGAATATCCTGACACTCTAGATTTATCGCTACCTGACCCAGACAACCCTGAAGAAGCTGAGTTTCTACAAAACCAGCGAGATCATGAATTGTTCAAAGGTCGTTTCTCTGACTCTTTTGGCAACGAACTACTACCTGGCATGTACTGCATGCCAATATTTGCTGTCCCCAAGCCACATTCAACTGATTTGCGGATGGTGACTGACCAAAGTGCAGGGAAATACTCTCTTAACAGCATGATACGGAGGGAAGACATCATCGGCTACCCCCTCGATAACCTCCAGCATCTAGGCGAGTTTCTCCTCTCCATGCATCGTCGAACTCCTGATTCCCCCCGTGTTCTTTACAAATCCGACGTCGCTGAAGCATACAGGCTCCTTCCTGTACATCCCTTCTGGCAGATAAAACAGGTTAATCGTATTTCAGGCCATCTCCACATCGATAGGAACAATGCCTTTGGAGGGCGTGGATCAGGATGCAATTGGATAGCTTTCATGTCTCTCGTATCATGGATAGCGAAGAAACAGCGGAACATAGAGCTCCTGGGTACATACTCGGATGACTCTTTTGGTCCGGACCATGCAAACAATGTCGCTTGGTATGCCCCATACAACAAATTCATGCCCAAGAACCAAGTTAAGCTCTTACAACTGTGGGATGAAATTAACCTGCCACACAAGGAGAGCAAACAGATTTTTGGTTCGACGCTCACCATCATAGGCATTGAAGTCGACGCAAACACCATGACTATGACTATGCCCCCAGACATACTGGAAGAATTGATCTCAGCCATCCAAGATTTCATCAGCTCAAGCCACAAGTTCACGCTACGTGAATGGCAACGCTTAGCTGGATGGATAAACTGGAGTTTTAATGTTTTCCCTTTGCTACGACCCTCACTCAATAATTTCTACGCAAAAATTTCTGGGAAATGCGCCCCAAACAAATACATCAGAATCAACAACGCCGTCCGTGCTGACTTGTTATGGGCTGCAAAACATCTCAAATCGGACAAAGGTGTACGTTTAATCCATCATATACAATGGGACATCTCATCTGCAGACATCATCATTTACTGTGATGCGTGCCTTGAGGGCATGGGCTTTTGGTTGCCTGACAAATGTGTCGGCTACTATTCCCCTGTGCCTGACAACACCACAGATGAACAGATTTTCTATTTTGAAGCTCTCTGCGTCTTATCTGCGATTCACCATGCCACGGATGACCTTCAGGTCCCTCCCACGACCAAGGTCCTAGTATACACTGATAACGACAACACTGTTGCTATCTTCAACACTCTCAGATGCCTTCCCCGGTACAATCCCATCCTCATCGACGCCGCCGACGTCTCTATCACATCAGGCATCCACCTGAGAGTGTTACACATTCCAGGTGAATTGAATTACGTCGCAGATGCAATTTCACGCAACAACTTTTTACTCGCAAGCCAGTACGTCCCTGACATTGCTATATCTTCATTTTTACCCCCTCGTTTGCCGCTGGGGGCACCCCAAAAATGATATCTTCATCTGTGCGTTCCAGGCAGCCCCTTAGGCAGCCTTGGACACGCGAGCGCCTGTTCAGAGAGCGTGCTATTGCTCTCGGACAGGCCATAGATAATTCAACATGGAAGAACTACAGTTCTGCTCTTAACTCTTACCTGAACTTTGTCAAGATGCACAACTTCCCCATAGAACCCACCTCAGAAACCCTAAGCCTATTCACCGTGTACATGTCCCACCACATCAAACCTAACTCGGTCTCCACATACCTATCAGGTATCTGTCAGCAACTCGAACCTTACTTCCCTGACGTCCGTGCCGCCCGTAACTCTACTCTTGTACACCGTACATTGCAGGGTTGCAGGCGCCAGCGAGCTATTCCCACATCTCGCAAACGCGCCCTAACATTGGACGACCTTGAAACTGTTGTAAATGCTCTAGGCAACTCAACAGACTACGACGATCGCCTCTTCATAGCACAACTGCTCACTGGTTTTTTCGCGCTGTTCCGTTTGGGCGAAATGACGTACCCAGATGATCCCGAACTTCGCGATCCAAGGAAAGTCACTAAACGCAACTCTGTCCGACAGGCGTCATTGGTGAAGATCTCTGGAACAGAATCATCAAGAGCATTGAAAAGAGGTGGAAGAAAGCTGACCAGGATATTTTTATAGTTGTGGTATTCCTCAATCCGTTTATTTGAGACACACTTTTCAACAAGGAGTTCCTCATGGAGGTGCAGCTCTACAACATCATGGGGAGGACCTATGAGCGCATTCTGCGGTGTGAGTCAAACCTTGACTTCTTAGAGGCTTTTGAGGATTACAGGTGGTTGTGTGGTGAGTTTTCTGATGATGACATGTCCCTATCATTGATGAAGGAGAAGTTCACTCATGAGGTATGTTGTCCACCACTTAGTACAGCTGAATTCTGACAACAACATTATAGGGTGCTCCACTTGACCTTCAGAAGATATGGGCTCAGATCGACAAAGGAGTCAACTGTGGGCAAAATGGGCTTGTCAAGCTCGCCGTACACATTTTCTCTGTGATTGCAAACTCAGCTGGCTGTGAACATGTCTTTAGCAAATTTGGGATCACTCACACAAAGCTGCATGACAAGCTTGATTTAGAAAGGGTTCACAAGTTGGCTGTCATTGGAATGGAAGTCAGTTGAGTGCTGGAAGATTATGGTCTTTGGAGAAGTCAAAAACAGTGCAAGTTTGGTGAGGATGAGTTGACCAACGACGTGGATTTGGAGGTAGATGTGGAATTTTGAGATTATGCAGAAGATTTAGTTTGGCAGGCCCAAGTCTCACAACAAGAAGAGGAACATGACACTGACCACACCCCATCCTCGATACAACCGATTCAGCCTCAGCCTACTGCTACCACAGTTGTTCCTCCATCTTGAATGTTGAGAGCTTGCAAAACTCAAATCACACTTCAAAATCTATTTAATTATGTTGTTGACAGTGCTACAGGGGAAGGACTTGGCTTTTATTGGCCGGGGAGTGTCAAGAATCTTGAGGAGGACTTGCTTGCATACGAGCGCGCAGCTGCCGAACTACAGCCTGCTTTCCATCCCCTGACATTGTAAGGTGATTATGGATTGTTGTTGGGTAATCACTTTTTTTGTAATTAAAGCTGGTTCTTTTCTATTCTATGACTTGAACTTATTGGGGAACTCAAATGTGTAAAGCAAGCAACTTGAACAGGGTATGTAGCTGATAGAATCGGGCTTGTCAACGTCCGGTTGTCAGGTTATACAAGGCCACATTTGCACAACCCTCTTTGGATGGTCAGGCCAATATTTGACCACTTTATGGCCATTTTGTTTGCAAGCATTAGTCTTGTTGACATCAGATTTGGCTTGGGCAGCCATAGCTATAAGAGAAAAATGAGGGGATGCTTGATTAGTGGTTAAGGAAAATACTGGGCCCACTCTGGCATATACATACAGAACCATGAACTAGCCTTGCAGCTGCAAGTTGGTGAACTTTCTGAAGCAAATCTGCTGCACTAAGTGAATGAATGGCTATTAGAATTAACAGTAACCATTTGTGCACCTGTGCATACATGAATACATGAAGCGAGAGATCGTAAATGTGAGTAGTTGGAGTGAGCACTCATGAACATGAGTAGATGGCAAGGCTTGCTAAGCATATGTTGTGCTTTCGATGTGATTTGAACCTATGCCTTGGCCTTTTCCTGGCTTCTCAACTGTTTTGTGAGCTACTAGACATGTCCAAGATTGTGTCAGAACCATCACTGCTCCCAAAAGAGTTGTCTGAGGAAGAAGGATAACTCGAGAAAGATTCTGACCAGGGTCTGCATGCACATGGGTGTGGGGTCTTCATGAAATATTAATTTAATGTTAAGATTTGGTTAAGATGCAATGTTCCTGTGAAGAGACTATGGCATTACCCATGCTGATCACTAAATACATGAGTGTTAGGGCTAGGTAGAGCATTTTTACGTTGAGGCACTCTGCATAAGATTGAAAACATCCAAAGTTCATAACTTATCTGGGATGCTCCACAGTTTTACTACTTGAAAGTGTGTTTTTCATTGAAATTTTTTGATGGTTGATTCTGCAGGCATTATCTCCGAAGGTTGGAAAAAAAATGAGCAGAGTAGCTCATTTCATTCTGCCAGGAGACACAAAATGCCTCCTGGGTGTATCACTGAGTGATTATGTAACATCATCACGTGGATGACTGTAATACCCAATATGAATAGTAGAGGGTCTTACCCTGTGTCACTGAGTGGTAGTGCCTTTTTCAAAGTTGGCCTTGTTTGTCCTGGCTCTTTCTGTCCCATCGACCTTTTTTTAGCCCAACAGTCTTCAAAGGTGGCCTTGTTTGTCTGCTGCCTTCCATTCCACTGGCCTTTTTTTAGACCTAGAGGCTTCAAAGTTGGCCTTGTTTAAGCCGGCCGTTACTGCTGACAGGAGAGGTCAGAAGTAAGACAGGCTCTCCTATTGTGGTAGCTCTCTCATCTTCTGATGAATCACGCTAATGTACTGAGAATTTTTGACACAGGAAAGGTAAGTGCTTTACCCCTTGGGCAGAATATGCCAGTAACTGTGGACACTGTGAACAGGAATCCAGTGTATGCTGGGGGATGTTGTTCAACACCAGAGAGGACTACAACTTTATGTTAGTCCCGATCCTGAAACAACCTGGCATGAATAGCCTAAGCACAGTGGTTTTCTTTGGTACAGGCGCTGGCCGTGATATTTGAGATCTTATTTTTGAGTTTCTGAGCATGGGTGCTTTGGCCTATTTTGGCGCCATTGATCAAGAGAGCTGAGCTGGCATTCAAGGTTATATTCGTTGTTGTTTACGAAAGCTTTTGGAACCATTTCTGGGATCAGGTTTGATATGCTGCTTTGCAAATAATCTGGATTAACTCAGAATTGCATCGTAGTCAACATCAAATCTTTTTTGGAACTCCTCAGGCAACATAACAGCACTATCATCAGTTCTGTCACCTTGAAGCTCATTATGAACAGCTGTGGGATGTCTTGGAAATCCCACAATCTCAACATTAGGACACCCCTTTGCAGGCTCTCCACATTTTCACAGTGGCTGCGAGGAATTGACTATAGGTTCAGTGGCACGGGTGTATTATGATGAGAAATTGCTGGTGCACTTACCCATAGCATCTATGTTAATGGTGAAGGCCGAGTCATTACCGTTACAGAAACTAAAGAAACCGATTCGTTTATCAGGGCTATCATTGGTGTGAGTCACACTGCCACCATGAACTTCGTTACATTGGAACATATTGGCTCTCTTTATCCTGTGGAGATGTTAAAAAATAGGCTCAGCTACGCCTTTAGAACTCCTCTCAGTCCGAGTCAGCAATCTGTCCTTTTGCGACACAGATTTGTTCTGGTGACAGAGTCCAATGGTCACCCCACTGGCAGACAGGTCTGTCCTGATTGTTATCGTCAATTGGCCAGCTTCATTGGTGTTGGCCTTATTGAATGAAAGTCTGGTGGACCAACAAGCAACTTCTTGACTAGGAGTTACACTTGGCGGCTGGGTGATTATTGTGCAAATCCGGTCTGTGCAGCTGAAAGAAATTGTTGTCGTCTGGTTAGGCAAGACTCCTTTTGTAGATATGATTCAGAAATCAGCAAAGATGATGATTGACTCGAGGAGGTAGAATATGAGTACAGTAGATATTCTCACAATGCATATACTCGTAATGCATAAATCTCATAATGCATGACATTTTTAGGGGACCAACTTGGTATGCAGGGATTTATGCATGGAACGTCATATCAAATAATGCATATCATATTTTGGCATTATGCATTACCAGATCTACAGATTTACTGGGTATTTACCTGTTCACCTCATTGTACCTGAGTTTTTCAGGACCAAAGTCTACCCTGATATACCCTGTGTGCCACGAATACACTGCTCGAGAGTAGTATCCAATTTTGCCAACACTTTTCTATCATTCTATGCCAGCTGCTGAGGAGAAGAAGGGGAAACCTCGAGACAGGCACAAGCCCTATGCACCTCGCAGAGGGAATGGAGCTGTGTGAGTGTTTGGTGTGTCATCCACTCAGAGGCTCGCGGCGTGTCAACACTGCTTTTGCAACAATAATTGCGCAAATTGAGGCCTTATTGAGGGCTCATCTTCATGTTGTTCAAGTGAAATCAGCCCGACAAACTACTCTCAACTCTTTTTTCAGTAGTAACGTCTCTCCCATGGATGTTGATAGCCTGTAAATACACAGTCTTTCCAGTTTTCATCTCGCTACATAAAGGACATTTCGAAGTGTGACATTTTTTGGCTGAGGTCACAAATAGTCACATTTTGTGACATATTTCATCTTGCATAAATCTCACAATGCATAGAAAAAGTCGGGGACTGGCATTATGCATTGTGAGAATATCTACTGTACTACATATCCAGCATGTAAATAACTCATACTACATAAAGCAATGCAATGTTTACCAATTATGTGCAGAAGCAAACAGAGTTGGGACTAAAATTGCTCGTTTTCTCCTTTCTCTTGTCCTTCACCATGTCATTTGGAGACTTTGTTTTCCAGCTAGATGGTCGTCCTGTATCTGCTTCGCTTGCAGACATGGACAAGTCTGTTTTATCTGCCTCTTGCACTGCTCGACTCAACATCTCTCATGGTGGTTGCAGTGACTACACTGGTCCTGTATCTGTGCAAATTGGAAGCATGTGGTTTACATGCATTCTCACTTTGTTAGTATCAGACAGAGCAAACATTCATGACTTGCTTCTCGGCTGTGACTGACTGGTGGCTACCACTATTTACCATAATACTAAGGCATATGCCTAGAGCTAAGTATCTATATCTCAAGCATAATTATGAAAGGCCTTTCATTTGACTTGCTTATGTCTCTCATTCATTTAAATGCTGGGCTTCATTCATAAGTTGTAGGAGAATTCCAATTGTGAATTTCATAAAGGTGGCTGGTGATTTCATTGCAGATTTTCATACTTATCCCCTCCACTTTCATGGATTTTTCATTGTGCAGCTCTCAATATTTCATTCTGATTTTCATATTTACCCCCACTGCTTCCATTGCAACTTTTCATTATGCAGCTCTCAATATTTCATTCTGATTTTCATATCTACCCCCACTGCTTTCATTGTGATTTTTTATTATGCAGCTCTTGATATTTCATTCTGACTTTCATACTTACAGTTGAGTGCAAAAAGAATGAAGGTTGGTTCATTTTTCTGGTTCTTTCTAAGAATCTATTGTACCTCAAATGTATTTGTGTATTCATTTACATCATGTAGTTGTGTTACACTTCACTTGGTATGGACTAATTTCAGTGAAAGCTGGAGCCTTGAGAAGGTTTTTGTTCTGGAGGCCACTTTTGGCATCTGAAAAAAAAGAAATGCGCTAACTGGGGAGGTAGCCAGAACATACCTCTGGTCAACCTGAATGAGCCTATCAAAGAATCAATCAAAAATACTGAGTGGTTAGGTCTGTAGAGGCATTGGAAAATGGCTTGTTTTGTCTA